GTCGCCCGGCTTCGGCAGGGGGGTTGGACTAGATGACCCACAGAGGTCCCTTCCAACCCCTACTATTCTGTGATTCTGTGATTCTGTGACTGAAGGGCTCTGCCACTGCCTGGGCAGACCAGAGCCTTGTCCTGCGGCACAGCTCCTTGTCCTGTCGCAGGACGGAGCGGGAGAAAGGAAAAACTGCCATTGCTCCGGTACAGCTGAAACCGTGTCGCCGCGTCCTGGCCTTGCCTGAGCGAGGGAGAATTTAGCTGAGCTATCTTTAGCTCCACTAAATTTAGTCGAGCTGTGCAAATGCTTGCCGTTGCTCGCTCACGTGGCCCTTTGGGCGCCCGGAGCAGCCGTCCCCAGCCTGCGGGGCCGGCCGGGCAGCGCCGGTTCGTCCTTCTGCGCTTGGCTGGGGGGGGGTGAAGTCTTTCCGACCCTTGGAGGGAAGCAGCTTCCGTAGCTCGGCTGTCATCAGCGGTTGTTACTCCAGGGAGATTCCCTCAAGCGTGCTTTGAGGAACCCCTGCGGTACCCAAGACATTCTTATAATGACAAGGATTTATCTGACTGAAGAGATCACCCGTCCGAGGACTGTGGGTAATGAATGTGAATAAGTAACATTTTAGAAATTAATGAGTTTTATTAATTGAGTTTATCCTGTACGTTAATAGTATTCTACCATATCCAAGATCTTGATGAGCTTAGAATACTCTCTTTACCAAGATAATTAATATCTCAGGAAGATCATTAATGCCGTATGATGTTTAGGTCAGAGCTCAAAGCTGGGATGTTATTGCAGATCTGGGAAAAATGACATTTTTGGTCACACATGGTAGCTACAGCCTTCAACTCCCATCAGATCAAGAGGGCTTCATCTCTGACACAGGAGGATTTTCCCCTTCTCTCACTTAAGTATGACAGTTAGAGTTTTTTTAGGTTTTGAGTGATTAGTTAATCGGTAATTGTTTTGGAATCGAATCATAAATTTTACCGTGATAACTCAATGATAATATGTTGACTTAAGTGTGGCAAGAAAATTTATTAGATATTCAACCTAACAGATAGCTGGTAAAAGAAATGACATTTAATTAACAGACTCAGTAGAAGGACAGCTAAATTGCGTGCTTATTGATTTGGATATGAATCCTCTAGGCAGCCGTGGGCTCCATGTGTGTCACCAAGGAGGGCTTGTCTTTAAGAGAGCATCTTTCAACAATGATCAAAAAAGTCCCAATTCTCTTCTGTGGAAGAGCTTCCAAGTTCCCTACCTTCTCTAGATCTGAGAACGTGGTTTTCAAATGCATTTGTACAGCGAACTCCCATCAAAACAAGAGAGCTAACCAAAAAGCTGGGTAAGAAGTGGCCTGTGAGGCAGTGGACTAGTGGGGTGGTTTATGGAAAGGTGTGTTTGACCTGTTCCCCCACTGTGACCGGATTTCTGAGCAATCAGTGGGGTCTGAGTTTTGGGAGCCTTCGTCAGAATGTCAGCGGGAGGGGGTTTGGGGGACAGAAGTGGGGACAGAAGCCTGGCCATGACACCTGCAGGGCAGTGTGGCTGCACCAGCAGTGGCAGGAATTTGATGTTTTGGTTTTGAAAATGGGTGAGTTTGAGTCTTCTGCAGCTGAAGGTCTGAACTGTCAGCTTCTTGTCTGAAGAGCGGGTTTGAAGGCTTAGGAATTGGGATGGCTGGAGCACCTCGGGAGCTGTCTGGAGCAGTGCTCCTCGGCTGTGCATCTTCCATGTTGCTTCGCCGTACGTTCCGTGCTTAAAAACTGCTGCCAGGTGGTACCTGTGGGGTCTTTGTGCTTGGAATCCAGCGTTAAGGTGGTACTGCACGATGTCGTGCGTTGCTGCTGTCTGGGTGTCGCTGCCGGTCGGGTGTACGGCTGCGCTGGGCTTCAGTGCTGCTGCAGGAACACGTTACCGAGAGAAGGATCGAGAGGCGAAACGGCCGTGCCCTCTGGCAGAGCAAGGCGCAGGGATCACACGCCGTGGGCGCAGTCCCGCAGGCGATCTCCTGTGCCACCAGAAGTCCACTGAAGGTTCAGGGAAGGAGGTTCACGCCAGCATCTGCAGCAGCAAGCAGGGGGTGAAGCAGGCCGGGTTTGTAATGGGAAACTTTGAAGAAGCTGGAAATACACTGGAGCATGAAAGGGTGCTGAAAGGATCGTACTGCTGTGCCTGCTAATACAGAGTCATCTTTTCTTGGAAATAGAAGATAACTTGTGCTCAGAAGAAGAAATAAATGTACAGGGCAGAGGATGAAAGCGTGGAAGGACAGGGAAGAGTGTCTGCCTGAAGGAGAGAGCTTCTGGGTTGGAAGATTTCCTGCCTTTGCTGTGTGAAGACAGGAGAGGCCCCTTGTCATTTCGTCCTGGTTGGAGGATGCTTGTGTTCAAAGGAAGGGATGTGCTCAGCGCGTGGTTGAGGTAAGCTAATGACAAATGGCAGCGAGTGCCAGCTCTGCTGCAAGAACAGGTTAGGCTTCTGGGAGATACACGAAATTAGAGGAGATTGTGTCTCCCAGAAGCCGATAACCCAGTGTGCAACGTGTAAACACAAACCCTGCGAGATGATAAAGGACTCAGAAATAATTCTGCAGCTCGAGACCGGCGGAAATGAAGCTCGGGGGGGAGTTATTTAAAGCACTACCCAGGTCCCTGTGGCCTGCAAGCAGAGATGTACGTACGGAATATTGCTGGGCATCAGCAAATGTGGTGAACGTGAAGGGCAGAGCAGCTGGTGGAGGGCTTGATGGCCCGGGCAGGGTTCTGGTACCCCGGTCACAGTCTGAGCACTCGGCAGCAGGGCCTGGAGGGGTGCCTGAGGGTGGGGAGTTGTGGAGAACTGCTGGCCTCTTAGACCGGGGCATGTTAGCTGATGCCAAGGCAGCTTGGTGTGGTAGAGGGGAAGAAATGTTGGGTGCTTGTCGTCCTGGGGCTGCTGGGCAGTGGCTGCATTGGTGGGCTCTCAACAGCGAGGACTTTCCGTGTGGTCACAGGGGTGTGATAAGGAATAAGCGGCATTTGCACCGCTGGAAATGTCAGTGCTGTGAGCGTGCTTATTCAGAACATGGCTGTGAAGTCCCCACGGCCAGAGAAAGTCACACAAATACTGCAGCAAGATCCCCTGGAGCGGTACAGGCAGCGGGAGAGGCGAGAGGAAGCCTCAGCAGCCCTTTGCCGGCCGTCTCCAGGCGCGGGAGCCCCGGCTTCGCTCTCCCCGGCGGGGGAGCTGGTGTGGGAGCACGGGGTGCCCCGGGCGGGCTGTCAGTCCTGCTGTCCTGCTGCCAGGAGTCAGGTGTATAAACTTGGTCCCGTGTTCTTTACAGCGTGGTCTTCAGAAGCAATAGGACACAAAGAGGGAAGGTAGGAAGCCAGCCTTTCCAGGCCCGATGTTCTGCTGAGAACAAGGAATGGGTTGTTGCTGTGGCAGGCTCTGGGCTGAACCTGGAGGAGTGCCAAGTGGTTGCCATTTATCTTCAGTTCATCTAAGGATTTGCACTCTCTTGGTTGTGGGACTCGGTGGTTTAAAGACTCGCATGCATGGGGCCCATTATATGGTGTTTTCTGGTGTGGAAGAGGAAGAAATAATTGGAATTTGCTTCCATGTTTCTTTCTGTGACATACAGCGTTGCCCTGTTTTTCCGTGAGCCTTAGGGGCTGTTGCTTCATGCTTGGGTAAAGCTGTTTACTTAAAAAAAAATAAAAATCCACGAGCATCTTTCCTAACTCACCCTCTCCCCCCAGATCACAGTCTGCAGTGTGCTGGTCAAGACATAATCCTGTTCCTTTCCCTGTAGGTGACAACTTCATCAGGAAGTAAATGCTTCTCGTGTCGTTCCGCAGCAGAGCGAGATAAATGGATGGAAAACCTGCGGCGTGCCGTGCACCCGAATAAGGTAGTGGCTTTGAGGAATTGCCTCTCTTGTCGCTCTGTTCCTTGTTATTACAGTTTATAGCCCGGTGCATAGTAGCAGCAGGGGACGTATTGTCATTTTAGTGAGTAAGTGTAACCATGGGTCAGCCTTTTTCCATATTGCTTTCTTCCACAATTATATTTACAGGCAAGTGCCAATTATTCTTCCCCTTTTTTCTCAGGCCATGCTGCTTCAGCTGTTGCTAAGCATTGATCAGACCTGAAGAATCTTCAGTCTTGCTCTGTTACTGATGACATTTGCCACTGGTGTAGGACTTTCCACCTCCCAAAAGCTCAGGGACAGATGTCAGGTACCTGCCAGGAAAGTCATGAGACTGAGTAGTGTCAGGAGTTCGCCCATCACGCTGCCCAGCTCCGGTAGTGCTTGCGGCGTCTGCTGTAGTGCTGGAGAAGCTCAGATGCCCGTGGCAGCGAGGTCTTGGAGGCGATAGTGGAACGTAGCTGTCCCTTCTCCGGTCAGGTGAGGTGGCAAAGTCATCCCCTCTGGGATCTACAGAAACAAATCCTCCTCTTCACTGGGACGCAGGGACACCCAAGATGCGGTTTGATGGCCCACTAAGGCTAAGTACATCCTAAAATAAAATCTACAGCTGCTCCTCCCTCTCCACACCGGAGTTAGCTAACAGAGATTGACCAGGCCTGATCGGCTGCAGGATTTCACCAGGGCTGAGCTCAGTCAACAGGTCTTTTTCTGCTGATCAGACACAAATGGTGGGATCCTGTGAATCCATTCCTGGCATCGGAGCCACGTAACTGTGCATACAAGTTAGGTCCAGGCCTGGCAGGTTGCTGAAGGACCCCTCCGTGTCGGAGCTGGTTGTTCCCCGCGCAGTGCCAAATGTCAGTATGAAAGATTTCCGTTGGTATCAGAGCGGGAGCAGCCAGGGGGAGAGGTGGACTTCTGCCTCAGCCGCGTGTTCCTGCCTGTGGAGTTCTGTCACCCCGGTGCTTTCCGAGGGCAGCAGCCTGCTGGTAACGGTCTGAAAGAGCTGTGTGAGGTGTGTGTGGTCACTCTCGCCAGGAGAAGGGTCCCGGGAATGGGAGCTGGGGCTGGGCACGTCACTGTGGCTTGGAGATGCCGTGTTCAGTGGAAATTCGTTTGGAAGTGTGCCCCCATCTCGAAACATGCCACTAGCTGCTGGCTAACTTGCCATCTTTGTTTGAGTTAGTAGACAATGAGCTCTCAGTATCTGACTTGATATTTGTCAGGAATTCAGTGTTCTTGTATAGTTCCTGCGTGTACTTCCTGACCCTGCAGTACCCCGCTGTGGGCTGCCAGCAGAAAGGTTCCTGCCCAGACTCCTCGGCCGAGCAGAGGGAGCTGTGCTTGGTTCCGGCGAGGGCTTTCCACACCAGACAGGTTACTGGGGAGTCCCTCGCAGCGGCTCAGCCACGAGTGCTTTGTCTTCAGAGTCACTCCCGCAACAGCTACCCCTGGATGTTCTTCCAGGATGAGGTCAGCATCCCGGGGGAGCGCTTAGAGATCCTCAGCACCCTTTGCTCTGCTGTTGTTTCAGAGATACCCAAGCCGTATTTCTGTTTCTGCATTGTAGTATTTCTCCTGTGGAACTCACTCTGTCTCCCGTAATTCCTCTCGGTGTTTTAGTTGGGTGCTCTGGACTTCTGTCCTAAAACATCGGGAGGTTTGGTAAATGCTGCTTTCCCTGCCAGATGTGGTTGCGTTCCAGCCGTGGGTGAGGTGATCGCTGGGTGTGTGTTCAGATCCCGTTATTGTTGCTCAGTTAACGCTGAAGAAAACGTGCTCGGTGCTGCTGTGAAGCAGCTGTACTGAGAGAGGAGGTGGCTGTGAGCTCCCTGTAACGTAGCTCCTGTTCTGCAAAGGCTCTTAATGATCAGTGAGGCTCTTGTGGTTTCTTCGGAGGCCCTCATGGCCCTGAATGGGAAGTGGTACGTGTGTGAGTTGGAGGGGTTTTATCTTCCTTGTTCCTTATATTAATTGGCACCAACAGACATGGAGAGGATGGTGATATTTGGAAAATTAACATAAGTAGTGTTATTATGCAAATTCCTGAGAGCCATATTTCCTTAAAATAAAATGTAATTAAGCCTCTGCTCATTTAGCACATCCGAAATAATTAACACATATCTCCAGTTGTGTTGTGCTTGGCTTTGTGGTTTTTTTATTGACCTTTTTTTCTTTGCACCTTTTTTTCAGGACAACAGCAGGAGGGTAGAGAATATGTTAAAGTTATGGATTATTGAAGCCAAGGACCTGCCAGCTAAGAAAAAGTACTTGTGTGAATTATGCCTGGACGACGTTCTTTATGCACGAACTACCTGTAAATTGAAAACTGATAACGTATTTTGGGGGGAGCACTTTGAATTTAATAACCTCCCATCGCTCAAAAACATCACGGTGCACTTATACAAAGAGACCGACAAGAAGAAAAAGAAGGACAAGACCAATTTCATTGGACAAGTGAACATCCCCGTCAGCTCTGTCACGGGCCGGCAGTTTGTGGAGAAGTGGTACCCCGTGGTCAGCCCCAACCCCGGGAAGGGCAAGGCCCCGGGGCCCATGATCCGCATCAAGTCACGCTACCAGAGCATGAGCATCCTCCCCATGGAGATGTACAAGGAGTTTGCCGAGTACATCACTAACAATTACATGGTGCTGTGCTCGGTGCTGGAGCCCTCGCTGAGCGTGAAGAACAAAGAGGAGATGGCGTCTGCGCTGGTGCACATCCTGCAGAGCACAGGCAAGGCCAAGGTAAGACCCCTCGGCATCCGTCCCGTCCCGCCGGAGGCCATCAGGAGCAGGCTGCGGTCTTCGGTTTTGGAAATCAGCTGGGCTTCAGGCCGAGCCGTCGTTAATACACTCTAATTTTGCTTTGAATTACAAAAGCCAGGGGTCGTGGGGTGCTCCCAGCGCGGTGCTCGCTGGGGGCCGACGCCGGCCGGCTCGAGGGTGGTGTGGGCTCAGTTTTTGAGGACCACTTTGTCTGAACGTCCTTTGTGGTTGGGGATCCCGCACCGGGTCAGGGGAAGAAGCAGGTCTGGAGGAGCAGAGAGGGGGATTTACTCCTGGCTGTGGGCTGAGCGGGTGCAGGCAGGGTGGGCAGAGCTGGAGACCCCCATCCTGGAGAGCACAGGCAAGCGGTGAGGTCCCCAGCGCAGGGGGCACGGAGCGCGTCCTTCATCCCGGGTGGCCGTGGCGGGCAGTGCCCGTGGCAGAGCTGCAGGAGGCAAAGCATCAGCGTTTCTCTTGGTGACACCTCCCTGAACGCTGCAGCGGGGAGCGGGGGAAGAGCAAGATTTCCGAAGCGTGGGCAGTGCTGCGGAGACGCGAGCTCCTCGCCTGAGGGGCAGTCGCAAGGCTCCGCTTCCTCCGCGGCTCCAGGGCTGCCTGCGACCGCGGCAGGGTCCGTGGGTTTGGCTGAGTTACCGTCTGCTGAACAGAGGGGTGGCTTGGCCTCCTGAGCTGGGTCGGTCACAGAATGGGTGGGGGGG